TTTCAATCCTCTAATTGATGAAGCAGAAGTTCTACGTAGCCTATCCACGATTAAATTATCATTCTCTGCGGGTCCTGATATGGTTCCAAGCTGTGTCCTCAAACATTGCGCCATACCACTTGCAGTTCCATTAACTATGATTTTTCATAAGTCGATTGCTACTGGCACATTTCCATCTATGTGGAAAGAATCCTTTCTTATTCCGCTACATAAAAAAGGTAGTAAATCTGATATCAGCAACTATCGCGGCATAGCCAAACTTAGTGCTATTCCTAAGCTCTTTGAAAAACTTATTTGCGATCAACTGCAGCACCAGTGTCGCTCCTTAATATCCTCTAAGCAGCATGGTTTCACAAAGTGCCGGTCTACAACAACTAAACTGCTTGAGTTTACGACCTTCATTAGTCAAGGCTTTAAATCCACAATGCAAACTGATGTTATCTTTACTGACTTTAGTAAAGCCTTTGATTCGGTCAACCACGAGCTACTGCTCCACAAGCTCCTCCTCCTCGGATTTCCTCCAACTCTACTGACATGGCTTCGTTCTTATTTAAAAAATCGTACCCAAAAGGTCCAGTACAACAGCATTTATTCAAAAGCTGTTTCCGTATATTCGGGTGTACCACAAGGCAGTCACCTCGGTCCTTTACTATTTGGCTTATTTATCAACGATCTTTCTCAAGTAATTGAGTTTTCCAAAGTACTTATGTTTGCGGATGATGTCAAGTTGTGTATGCATCTGACCTCACCTAGTTCCTACATGCAGCTCCAGCTCGACTTAAATAACCTTCAATCCTGGTGCCTAGTCAACAAGCTACTGCTCAATCCTGATAAATGTAAATCCATGTCATTTTATCGATCCAATCCATATATTTGTACATACTCAATAGATCACTCTGCACTTGAACGCATTGATACTGTTCTTGATCTTGGTGGATTTGACCACAAGATTTGTTTTAATAGCCACGTCAGTACCATCTCCAATAAAGCTAAATGCTTATTAGCTTTCATAAAACGCTGGTCTAAGGAATTTGATGACCCTTTCACCACTAAGCTCCTTTACGTCTCTCTAATTCGTCCTACACTTGAGTACTGCTCCAGTGTTTGGTCTCCACAATATGAGCACTATCAAAATATGATAGAATCCGTCCAAAAGCAATTTCTCCTTTTTGCACTACGAGGCTTAAACTGGGAGGAGGGACGCCGTTTGCCATCTTATAGAGACAGTTTGCGCCTCTTGGATCTACCTACCTTAAAGAATCGTCGGACCCGTTATGGTGTGATATTACTTCACAAACTCATCACTGGCGCCGTCGACTCAGTTGACCTGTTAGCCATCCTCAATTGGAACGTTCCTTGCAGAGCTATTCGCCGATTCCGTCCATAAACACATCCTGTGTGCAGGTCAAACTGCTCCCGTTTCGACCCCTTCCGAATCCTATGTGATAACTATAATGAACTTTATCACCTCATATCCTATGAGTGCTCTGCCAATGCTAATTCGCTAAAAGTCATTGCGTTCCTGTCTTCATCGACTTAATAAGTTATCCTACGTTACAATAAAATTATTGTTTGTTTTTTAAATGTATGATGTATATAATATTAAGTCTATTGAGCAGTACATTGCTTTAAATAAACAAATAAACAAATAAAAAATCTTGTTGCAGCTAAGATTCGCACACGGCTATGTGTGTCGAAGATTGCACGTCGAAGTGCGTTAAGAAGGCTAGACATCGGAAAGCTGCAATCACAACTGGCGAAAGATGCATTCTCCACTCACGTCTCGGTACTATTAAGCCGAGCACCTTTAATACCTGAAGACATAAGCGATATGTGGGCGCTCTTCTGCTTCGGCAGAAGAAGTGCTGGGATTCCAGCGTCTTCTAACAAGGAGTCCATGGTACGATCAGGAGTGTCATGACGCAACAGCTGCAAAGGACGCCGCCTATAGAAGAACACTGCAGGCTGGGGCGACACGAGCTATTGTAGATGTCTACAGGTCGAGAAGAAGAGACGAAAAACGCCTTTTCAGACGCAAGAAGAAAAAGCAGGAAAGCCGAGAGTGTGAGTGCATAGAGAGCAGCAGATGCAGGAATGAAGCACGTAACTTCTACCAGAGGGTCAAGCGTCTGACCCAAGGATTTAGGACTGGTGGAGTGGCGTGCAGGGACGATGATGGAAATCTTGTCACAGAAGCAGAGGTCGTGCTGAGGTTATGGAGGAATCACTTCTCGAGTCTGTTATCTGGCTCAAGCACAGACTCTGAAGACTTTGATCCACGAACCCCAATCTATGGCAATGTTATTGAAGTGCCAATCCCAAGTCATATCGAAGTCAAGGATGCAATCCATCGGCTTAAAAACAACAAGTCTGCAGGTGCTGAAGGTCTGCCGGCAGAATTGTTTAAGGCAGCTGGTGATATGTTGGTAGGGAGCATGCATCAACTAATCAGCAAGATATGGTTCACGATCTGTCCCATCCTGAAGAGGAGTGATGCCACGGTGCGCACCAACTAACGCGGAATTAGTCTTCTTCCAGTTGCATACAAGAATCACCATGAACTAGGGACGGGGGCGCTTCGATAAGGCGGTCGATTGGCACTGGACGATAGTGCGATCGATGGGCACAAGCTAAATGGAAATATCATGGTGAATATCGCTGCGATCGGGTGGCAACGCTACACCTGCGATATCGATAGCGGATGATATCGATAGATTATGAATATCGGTTCCGAGCGGAACCAGATCAGAGATCGTCGCGGATATCGATGCCCAGTGGGACCAGATGGAGGATTGGCGCGGGAGTTTCAAAATTGCTGCAGAGATGCCGACTTGCGCCGTAGAAACTCTCGGAGTTGAAAGCGTCGAGGGAGCAACGATGGAGCAACGAGGGAGCGCCGAGGGAAGCAGCAGAAGCAGCGCAAGGACTCAATGGCTAGGATACACGAGGAAACGCCGGAGAGTAGGAACGAGTCGTCTTTAAAATTTCCCGAAGTAAGGGGGGAATAGGAGGAGTTGAATAACTCATCACAAATAGCAGCAGCTAGAATAACGGATGGCCGGCCGCTTACCAGTTACGCGGGGAAGTTGCGTAGTAGCTGCGCGGCGAAGAGAGTTTGGAGACCGAGAAGTGTAGAGTGAGAGTTTGGAGACTTCGAGGTCAAGAAAGAGAACTCTCACAAAGAGAGTTTGGAGAGTCATGGCGGAGAGTGAGAGAGTGGAGAATCAGCGGGCAGAGCCAAAGTGCCGTGGGTGCAAAAGGAAATAATGGAACTGCACCGGACTTTGGACTCTGCCTTGAACTTTGGACCAGGAGGACAAGAACAACAGAATCAGCGGGACGGCAGCAGCATGCAGAAGAACAATTTAAGGCCGTGCGTGAAGGACAAGTGGGTCCACCAGGGACCACGGACTTTGGACCTGGAGTGGAGAGATTCAGCGGGCAGAGCGCAAAAGGGAAATAACGGTTCCCGGAGGCCCTATATAAAGCCGCCGGGCGCTGGCAACTGGATCAGTCGATCACAAGGAATCAGTCCGGCAAGATCAGTCAAGATATCAAAGTGAATAAGTCAGTCAATCAGTGCCAAATAATCTACAAGTGAAAACACAAGTCAAGTCGTCGGAAGCAGCGCCGTGCGAGCCTACAAGGAGCAAGATCGCTACGTCGAGACGGTGGGGATTGGATCATCAGGAATCTCCGAATTGAGACACAGGTAGCTGAGGTCCGGAGGGCATCATACGGCTAAGTCAAGGCAAACTGTTCCTACTCCTGTCCGACTAAAGCCTCGCATTGCGTCTGGCGTGTCCCTCAGAGTGAACAGGCCAATTGTCATCTCAAGGCGCTGTCCTAGAGAGAACGAGCCGTTGGTCATTTCAAGGCGCTGTCCTAGAGCGACTAGGCCCGTCGTGATTTCAAGGCGCTGTCCTAGAAAAAACAGACCGTTTGTCAGTTCGAGGCGCTGGCCTAGAAAGACCCACGGTTTTACGAGCCGTGACCGGCGTGTCCGTAACCCCAAGTACCAAAAGCCACGCTACGTCCAACCTCACAACCAGCGCATCCCGGAGCAGAGCATCGGACCTCGAGCTGCACGGAAACGTCACGAACGAGCTAGCGGGTGAGGCCAGGGTGAAACGTTCGTTTACACCAGGCGTAAAGCAAGGTGAAGCACTAGGCAGCCAGGTGTCCACCTAGACAGTCAGCGCGATCCAAGCAAGAGCCTAGTGGGACCATCCGGGACAGAGCCAGGGACAGGCGGTTGTGTGTCTATAGGCGTTGCCCTGTAGAGCGCAGCTCCTGTTCACCCTAGTCTGAGAACGGTGACGCTTCCCTAAGCCCACACGGCTGATCTCCTTGCGAGGCCGAGGCGCTACGTGTGGTCGGCGAGTCAACGCATCGGAGCAGAACATCGCCGAGCGTCCACAGGGAGCTACAGTGAGATATAAGACCGGGGCACAGAGTCAACGAGGAAGGCGATCACCGAGGCGACGCACCGTCGTGGAGAGACGAGCATCGCTAGGAGGCACCGAGGAGTGGCGACACCAAGGCCAACCGAGCCATCAAGCCCGCTGTAATCATACCCGCAATAAACCAAATTCGAACCCGTGAATTCTGTGCTTTCTCCCTGATCTACTGGGCGGTCACGTTTATATAAATTTGGTGGGACGAACACATAACCTATCTGAGCTAGCCGCACGAATCTCGTAGCGAGCAGACATTCAAAATCAGTTCGTTACAGTCCTATCGAGCGTATTGTGTAAAAGACTGAAACCCCATGCTGAAGCACTGATTGGACCCTATCAGTGCGGGTTCAGGCCTGGCAAGTCCACTGTTGACCAGATTTTCACCTTGCGCCAAATCCTTAAGAAGTCTTACGAAAGCCAGATCGACAAGTATCATCTTTTCGTCGACTGTAAGGCCGCATTTGATAGCCCCGGCGAGATCGCCTATATGCCGCCATGTCTGAGCTTGGAATACCAGCAAAGCTGACTAGACCTTGCAGAATGACATTGAGCAACACCATCAGCTCTGTCAAGGTAGGAAGTGGCCAATCGGAAACCTTTTCTACCAAGTGTGGCCTCAGACAAGGTCACTCGCTGTCTTGTATGCTCTTCAATATTCTAATGGAGAGTATTATAAGTAAGGCTGGTATGCATTGGACGGGCACGATATTAACCAACAGATGTGTCCAGCTCCTTGGTTACGCTGATGATATTGATGTCATTGGCCGCACCAAGCATGATGTCACAGGACCCTTCGGGGCTATTGGAAAGAAATCAGCAAAAGTAGGACTAGCAGTGAATAGGGAGAAAACAAAGTTTATGGTGTGCTCTAGCAGAGAATCGCGGCGTCTTGATGTAGCTGCTCTTGGAGTGTTCGAGAGAAAAATTCTTCGCAAAATCGTTGGTCCAATCTGCGTGGACGATGTTTATCGCATCAGATACAACCACGAGCTGTATGAGCTGTACGGTGATGTTGACGTAGCCAGCCGAGTGAAATCTCAAAGACTATGCTGGCTGGGCCACATTGCCCGTATGGATGAAGACGCTCCGGCTCGTAAGGTGTTTGATGCGGTGATTGTTGGGACACGAAGGAGATGACGACCCCGATCGCGTTGGCAAGATTAGGTTATGGAAACCCTGTCCACACTTGGTGTTACCAACTGGCGAAGGCGCGCCCAGGACAGAGACGCGTGGAGGCACATTGTGCTTCAGGCCGAAATGAAATGATGGCAAGACTGGACAAAACTTTTGTTGGCCTGTGTAATCAAATTTGTTAAGGTGCTTGTGCTTGGACCTTGCCTTATATTCGTATTGAATGATTTTTATTGTATGAAGTTATTTTTATACCCTTAATACCCTTATACCCTTTTTATACCCTTAATACCCTCATAATACCCTCTTATGATTTCAGTGAGAAGTTTGCAACGCAGTGAAGGAGACGTTTCCGACCCCATAAAGTATATAAATTCTTGATCAGCATCACAAGACGAGTCGATCTAGCCATGTCCGTCTGTCTGTCTGTCCGCCTGTCCGTCTGTCCGTCCGTCTAACATCTAACAAAAAGCTGCAGGTACTAGTGAAATGGGTAGGTAAGTTGGAATTAACCAAGTTTAGTCCAAGAGATCTAAAATCATTCTGCACATTTTGTTCTTTGATTATGTTGCTATTAAGATCTCCAGCCAGGATAACGTTTTCGTACCCAACAGATATATTAGATACAGCCTGTGTAGGCTCATTATATTCAGTTGTTCGATGGGGTCTATAAATACAAAAGATTGGGATTTTTGATTTAAACTGACGCACAGTGGCGCCTTGGGCCAAAAAACGTGCAATAAATCACTTTTTTGACTTTGTCCTAGAAAGTTGTGACCCATACCAATCGACAGGTAATTGATCCACTATTACAAATATGTAACCCTTTTTCAAATCAAAAAATTGTTGTAAAAGATATGAATTTTCAAAGTTGAACAATTTTTCACTTAAAAAAAACACACCGTTTTTAGGTAATTTTTCGCACTTCCGGGGGGTTTTTCTTTAAAACTAGGTATCGAATCGCTTTGCTTCTTTTTTCCACGGATTGGTGTGTTAGTTAAGAGTAAAAAAAGTAAAACATATTGCAGTTTGCCATGCGCATCTCTTAGTTATGAGTTATTTGCGAAACGTCCATTTTTTCCATATTTTTCAACTTTGATGGAAAATAAAAAAAAACTATTTAATACTATTTTTTTTATACTTCCGTAAAACGTTATTTGGACTTTCTTCTTGATATTACGAAAGTTGTAGCTGCGTCCGCCTGCGTCCGCGGTTTTAAGAGACAAAAAAGGGAAAAAAGTCATGGTCCAAGAAATTGCATATGGCGCAACCTTGTGAAAGATTTGTCCAAAACATGGTTTTAAAGTCCTGAAAATTTTATATGATGTTCAACAGCTCGATATAAGAAATTTTAGTTCTACCACTTTTGGAAAAACTCGCTAGTTTAGCGGGAAAACAGCTATAAATAGCTAAAATACGGAAGGCCGTAACTTCTAAACTACAGAAGCAACAGACTTGTGCTGTATCTCGTTTGAAAGGTTTTTAAAAAAGCTTTAAGCGCCTCCTATATGTAGTTTGTGTAAATGTAATATTGAAAAGATATGCACAAAACATTTTTTTTTAAAATTTTTTTGTTTAGTTTTTTTTATTTTTCTCGAAAACGGCTCTAACGATTTTCTTTAAAACTTTAAACTGTATAGCCCTTGAGATTCCTTAAATTTTGGTATATATCATGTTACTGTAAAAAATCACGTTTAAATGTTATTCAGAAACGAAAATAGCCACTTTTGCCAGCTCAAAACAACTTACGCTGCCTAAGCATTGAATTTAGTATGTGCGAATCCAAACTGTATTCTAGGGTCATGGAATCACAACCTTGTCACAGAGTTAGAATCTAGTAATTATAGTCCAGAAATGTTAAGTCTATTGGATTTACCAAGTTTACCAAATTGTGACCATTATTTCAAAAAACATGAAATATAAAAATTTTTATTTTTAAAAAAAAACTTTAATTTTTTTTTTTTTTGTTTTTTTAGTTTTTAAAAATTAAAACATAAAAAATAAACTAAACAAAACGTAATTTTAAAAAAAAAAATTTTTTTTTTTTAAAAATTCCAATTTTTTATTTATTTTTTTTTAATAAGTTTTAAAAATTACAACATGAAAAAAGAAACTAAAAAAAACAAAAACTTTTTAAAAAAAGTTTTTTTTTTGTCGGAAAAAAATGGATTTGTTTTTAAATTCTGACTTTGCCGATTTGTAAGTACGCCTCTGCCACGCCCACTCCCTGTCTCTAGCAATAATTTGAAAGGTGGATCAATTATCTATCATTTGCCGTTTACAAAATTCAATTATCTTCACTGGTTCAAAAGTTATGATTTATTACCAAAAAAAAGTCAAAAGGCGCCACTGTGTGACGATCTACGACATCTAAAAAAAATATATTCAACTCTGCTGTCAATGGGATTTGATTGAATAAGTTTCGAAGTATATTTGTTGCCTACATAAATGGCTACACCACCTGCGTGGGTTACTCTGTCGGATCTGTACAATACATAACCATCACATTCAAAAGGGACATCACTATAGCCACTGACAAACCATGTTTCTGAAACACAGACCACATCAACATTTGAACCAACAAATAGTTCCCTAAACTCATCCATTTTTCTGACCAGGCTTTGAGCATTTATGTGAACAACCGTCAACCCCACTTTCTGTTTACAGAGAATTTTAAGCAGACTGCTCGCTGTTGCATTATTTGTGTTGACCTGCATTAATATTAAGATATACGGAAAATTGGGAAACGCACATATGAATTGAGAAGGCACAAGCTAGATTTAGATAAAGAGAGATTACAAATAGAAAGATAGAATTACTCTTAAAAACTATACTCTTAACGAGTTCAACTGCATAGGAGAAGTTATTGACGAAAGCTATTTTGATCATGAGAGGCATGGTGGAACTATACAAGGTGATCTCGTCGCGAGAGCTGCCCTCTTTTGAGGACGTTATTTGTGTCAGTCTCTATCTAGCTATCTCATTTTATCGCCTAAGAGAGACAGAGAGGTAAACATATTTAACGTCCTCAGCAGAGCTGACGAGACCACCTTGTATAGTTCCACCATGATGAGAGGTACCTTCAGCAAGCAGGGCACCTGATCCGGAGAGGGAGAGAGCTGACTCAGGAGCAGAGAACGCTGTGAGCTCATTAAGCTGCTGGATAATGTGGATGTTATCTCTCTCACTGCACTTCACGTGCACAATCCCACGGCGCGTAAAAACAGCAGCAAGAGATTTCTTCTTCTTTAAGCGCATGGCTTCTTTAAAGATAATGAAATTATCTCTCGAAAGCTGCTCGTTAACGTAGAGAGCGGCCGGCGAGTCAAAGCCCAACAGGTGTATGCTCAATTGTTGTTTTGTTGTTCGTCGGTATTCACCCAGTGCGCGAAGAAGGGACACTTTTTCCCTTGTCGTTTCTAATTTGATTAGAATTGGAGGGTCCACCAGGGAATTTTGCGATTTCCGGACCCTGAAAATTTTCGCCTGCCACAAAGGGGACTCTGGCGCGTTGTGCGTCAAGTTTAACTTGCATAGTGCCAATTTCGGATTTCAGGGAGCGCAGCTCCTCCACCTCTCTCTCCAGCTTTAACATGCGATCGGCCATGTGATTCATCTCAGTGGTCACACCTAGGAGCCTTTCCTTCAGCACCTCGAGCATCCAATCCTCAACCTCGCGGATGGTGGACTTTATCAGCAGAGCTTGTTCATCAAAGCGGCTATTTATGGCCGCTATTAGCAAAGGTGAGGGGGTGTCATTGGGGGCGTCTGAAGGGCGGCCGCGCTTAGAGGCAGAGGCTCCTTTTAAGGTGGTTTATACAGTTGTGATAGATGAAAAAATCGATTTTTTTTATTGCATATTCTTTAAGTATATACTGTTGAGAATACTCTCAAAAAAATTCAAAACGATCGGAGCTTTAGAACCGAAGTTGTAGCTATTTATAGCGCACTACCTGCACATCGGCCTTTACAAACTTAAAACTTTAAACGCGATTATCTCAGAATCTCGTTTTTTCGAAATTACCTTTGCGGTGGACACGATTACTAAAAAACTATTAATCCGATCGACACAAAATTTTGACCACTTATTTATTATAACATAAGCTATTCCTTGAACGAAGGATTTTCCATTTTTTTTTCTTTTTTTAGAGCATAAAATCCAAAATTGTATACCTTGAAAAAGTACATTTTTTGTTAAAACCGTCGCCATTTTTTTAATCAAAATTTTTACAAATCCTTGTTTTGCTTATTATTTTGCTCGGCGATTTTTCGGATGTATCCGAGAAATTTGTGATTTTTGCGGAGCGGTCTACCGCAAGTCACTATCGAATCGGACATGCCATTTTTATTATTTAATACTTTTTTATGAACAAATTTAAATAAGAACCCAGAAACATGTACTAAACAATGTAGGCAAAACATTTTTAATAAATGTTTTTTATGGTGTCAAAAATAAAAATCGATAAAATTTCATTTTTTGCGCGGTACAACAGTATATAACCCCTTAAGTCAGGTAGTTTTCTAGGATCTGTAGGCCAGTATGTAGGGCTGCCTGGCGAAACGTAGTCCAGTTTGTTGCATGTTTTGATGAGTGCATTATATAGTTGCCTTCCTTTGGACAAGGCGGGATCCCCAGTGTGTGTGCTTGGCGTTGTAACCACCTGCTGCTATGAATAGCTCTTCAAGTGAATTGTAGAAGTCCATAAATTGGTCTTCGGAGACTGTAAAACGGGGTGGGCAGTAAATGGCAAGGTTGCAGTTGCCCAACTGTAATTTTATCGATGTAGCTTGCAAATAATTTGTTGCAAACCTTTGGCGAAAGTGGTGTTTGATGCGGTCTCTAATTAAAATGCCGGTTCCGCCATGTGCTTTACCATCTGGATGATCGGTGCAGTAGAACGTGTATCCCCGTATTTAAAAACTATATTTGCCGGTAAGATGCGTTTCTGCCAGCAACATCGATGTGGTTTTCGTTCAGAAATTGACTTATTTCAGGTTTATGCCGT